TCTTCTTCTTATTATTATTATTATTATTCTTACCATTATTATTATTAGTAGTAGTACCATTATCATTATTATTAGTAGTATTATTGTTGTTGTTATTCGTATTATCATCCTTATTATCATTCTACTCCTCCTCCTTCATCTCCTCCTCCTCCTCCTCCTCCTGCTTATTGTCCTACTCCTCCTCCTCCTCCTCCTCCTCCATCTCCTCTCCCTCCTCCTCCTGCTCCTCCTCATCGTTCTTCTGATTATTCTCCTTCTCCTCTCCTCCTCCTCCTCCTCCTCCTCCTCCTCCTCCTCCTTCATCTCCTCCCCTTCCTCCGCCGCCTCCTCCTTCTTCTTATTATTCTTCTTATCCTCCTCCTCCTCCTCCTCCTCCTCCTCCTCCTCCTCCTCCTCCTCCTCCTCCTCCTCCTCCTCCTCATACGGGGCGCGCGCCCACGGCGAGCCGCCGACGGCGATCAGGGCGGCGAGACGCCGCTACATCGCCGCGCTGGCCAAGCCGAGGGCAGGACGCTGTCCGACCACCTACCTAGCGCTGCAGGGCAAGGACCCCGCGCTGGAGTATCCGAAGATGCAGCTGAGGGCGTGGTTCGGCCTTTAGGCCCACCGAGAAGACATCCGGCAGATGGCGAAGAAGGCGTGGCCACTGATCTACGCCCAGCTGTTGAAGATCCCTTCGTAGCACCACTGGAGGCGTTGCCGTGGGGTGGTGGCCTCGCTGATGCTCACGCTGTGGGATGCTGGTTGAACGCCGCGCTCCCCGACCTCGTCGACGGATCCCAGGGGCGACCAGTGGGCGCTGGCTGCGGGGGCGGAGAAGAGTGACCCAGCGGACGCGATCGACGAGGTGCTGTCAGACATTGCCGAGCGGCTCTGGACCAGAGCTGCAGGCGGACACAATGGAGCTGGACTGGAGCAGGGAATGGACCTCTGCGGCGCGAAGTTCACCCTGAGGAAGTGGAGGAAGCAGAAGCCCGACATGGCCAACGCTTTGCTCCAGGCGATGACGGCGGCCACGTGGACGGCCGCCCACAAGAAGGCGGTCCTTGGCCAGGAGAGAGGAGGCTCAGGCCTCTGCAGCTGCGGTGCGGTCGCGGACGACTGCCACCGCATCTGGGGAGAGTGCCCGCAGCGCCCACGGCACGAGGACTTCGAGAGGACCGAGTGGCTGCGCCCGAAGGCGGAGAGCGGCCATCTCGACAGCCCAGCCCTCTGGCTGAGGGGCACGGCCCCGAGAACGTGGACAACGCCGCCGCCGTGCGACACGGTTGAGGAGCTGACCACCCTCGGGGCCGTGGGGCAGCAGAAGAGGTTCTCGGGCGGCTCTCCGTGATTCTCGAAGATGTCGTAGAGGGCGGGCTCGCGCCGACGGGCGCTCGGCACCTCGCTTGCGGCGGCAGCAGCGGCGGCGAGGAGGCGGCAGACGCCCGCTTCCGCCGCCGCGGCTGGGGCGGGTGCATCCTGCACGGCACGCCCGGGCGCCCAGAGCTGATGATCAGGCGGTGCGCGCTCTCCGTTGGCAGACCATCGCCAGCCGAACAACCGTGCTGAGCTGTCTAATTTGAGGGCGGTGCTGCGTGGCACGCCAGGGGATGTCGAGTAGTGGACAGATCGTGATATCTTGTTTCGTGGTTGGAACAAGGGTCGCCATTTGAGGCCTGCAGGTTGGAGTGTGAATGGTGATCTTTGGGAGATGCTCGGAGCAGTGTTGACTGAGCGCGGTGAGGCCAGTACGACGGTGCATTTTCTTAAAAGCCACCCGTCCCCTGAGGGGCCGATGGCCACGGGAGTCCCCTTGCTGGCCTGGATCGGCACTCAGGTTGCCGACGACCTCGCCGCCTCTGCCGCCGCCGCCCATGCCTTGAGCAGGGACCGACCGTCCCGGCATTCCTACAGTCCTACCACGAAATGTTCTAAGAACCCAAACCTGTTTCAAGAACAAAAACCATGTTCTTCGAACATAAACCCGATGTTTTAAAACAAGACAGTCCCAGCCAGACATGTTCTAAGAACATCTTGTGGGAACCACAACCAATCTTAGAACATTGTTTGGTGGGGCTATAGGCGAGCCGGGACGCTTCGCCACTTCTTGATCTCTTGCTTCAAATTGGCGGTGGCGACGATGTGTCTTGTGCGGCTCCGCACTGCGAGAGCCACCCGGTTCGCCTCCGGGCAGGAAGACCGCCCGCCGACCGCGCGCGAGGCCCAGAGGGCTGCCAGAAGGCCCCAGGCCCTCCGCCCTCGCGCGTGGGCAGGCGGGCTCCTCCCATTCTCTGGCAGACACTAAAACACGTCTTAGTGGTTTGGGTTGTCGCAGTGGTGTGTCTAAGGCCTTGTGCAGACGTGTGCTCGAGAGTTGGCCTTGCTCCCAGTGTCCCGGCCCGCCCCCCCCCCCAGCCCACTAGAGTGCTCGTGGCCGTCGGAACGCGTGCCGCCCATCACTCACACACCTTGGCTTTCTATGATCCGTATTGGGTGTGCACTATGTGTGGCTGCAGGGCAAGAGAGGGTAGTGGCCATCTCAGGGACCTGGCGTAAGAGTGTAAGTGTATAAGAGGTGAACCTCCCACTAAGACGGGGGCTTGGGTCCTCCAGCGTCTTTCTGCAGGGAAGCCTCCTACGTGAGCCCCCGAAGAAGCGTGGTCTGACAGAGTCAGCTTGGGGTAATCCTTGTGTAATCCCTCCTCCCTCCTCCCTCTTCCCTCCTCCTTCCTCCGTCCTCCCTCCTCCTCCTCCCCCCTCCTCCCCCTCCTCCTCCTCCGCCCTCTTCCTCCTCCTCCTCCTCCTCCTCCTCCTCCTCCTCCTCCTCCTCTTGATCCTCCTCCTCCTCCTTCATCTCCTCCACCTCCTCCTCCTTCTTCTTCTTCTTCTTCTCTCCGTCTCCTCCTCCTCCTCCTCATCATCCTTCATCTCCTCCTCATCCGCCTCCTCCTTATTATTCTTCTTCTTCTTCTATCCTCCTCCTCCTCGTCCTCCTCCTCCTCCTCCTCCTCATCCTCCCTCCTCCCTCCTCCCTCATCATCCCTTCTCCTTCCTCCCTCCTCCTCCCTCCCTCCTCCTCCTCCTCCTCCTCCTCCTCCTCCTCCTCCTCCTCCTTCTCCTCCTCCTCCTCCTCCTCCTCCTCCCCTCCTCCCCAGGGGCCGCGGCCCGGCACGTCCCAGCGGGTGCTGCGCAGAGCTCCCTCCCGAGGCGAAGCTCTCGTGCAGGGGCCCTGGGACACACAGACGAATAGGAGGAGGAGGAAGAGGAGGAGGAGGAGGAGGAAGAAGAAGAGGAGGAGGAGGAGGAGAAATCCAAGGATTCCCCACGTGTTCTGAGATTCGTTTGGTATTCCGCTTCTCCCCCTAAACTTCCTACACTTTCCTAGATGTCCTGGGGGTCGACGATGAATTGTGTCTCTGTGTGTGCGCGCGCTTTTCCCCTCTCCTGGGCTACAGTCAACCCGTGTCATGAGGATGCGCGGAGAGTATGCAAAGGCCTTGGACGCACATGCCGAGGCTCTTTTCGGGCGGGGCGGGCCATGGCAAGTGGTCGAGGATTGACCGAAGATGACCGAAGAGGCAAGGATGCAAGGGCACCCTTGGGGAAGCCGATCATCCTCACTGTGCGGATTGACTGCAAGGACGATGAGAACATCGGGTGAGGGTACAGTGCGGACGCTGCCGCAAGAAGCCCTCGCAAGAAACCCAGCCCCGAAGAGCCGCGCGGGAGGTGCGACTGAACGGAAACCCAGGGTACTCTGAACGCAGCAGCTTCTTCAACGGCCGCGGGAAGTCACCGCGCAGCGCGAAGAGCGAAGACACCCAGGGTACCCTGACGAAAAGCCTACGGCTTCTTGATGCGCGCCCCCACTATACATCGGGAATCTTTGAAATCCGGCGGTTCTGGAGGATGTCTCGGGCGCCGCGGCCTTCTCAGACTCTTCCAGAACGCTCTGGGAGCGATGCATCCTCGGCCTGGCCCCGTCCTGCCCCCCCCTCCCCCCCCCCGAAGGCCCTCGCGCGCTCCTCGCACGCACCTCCGGCAGGCCTCCCCATCTCCACTCCTGCTGTCGCGCTCCTGATTTCTACCTGAAGGGGGCTTCCTGGAGATTTCGTCGGAGATTTGGCCGGGATTCCTAACCTCGGGAGGGCTGTCTGGAGATTTCGTCGGAAATCTCGCCGGAGATGTCCGCTGCCGGAGATCCGAGGGGCCCCCGCCACTGCTGCCGGAGATTCTGGGGGAGAATTCTGGGAGAATTCTATGATGTTCTGGGGGGAGCGAGAGGTCTCCACGCACCCGATCTAACTCTCCGGCGGCGAGCCGCAGGGGGAGGGGGACGCGCGGGAGGGCAGGCCTCCTCGGGGGAGGCGGCGGGGCTCCCCGGAGGCCCCCGCGCCGCCCGAGACGCCTCGGAGGCCGCGGGCTGCTCCCCGCTCCTGCACGCGGGCCAAGTCCCCTCCTCTCTCCTCCGCGCCCCGCCGCTCCTCCGCGCCCCGCCCCTCCCGCCTCCCCCCCCCCCCTTCCTGCACATGCGGGCCAGGTCGCGACTCCTTGCGGCCGTGGCCTCGCCCCGACGCGCGAGCGGCTCTTGCCTTTTGCCGCGCCGCAGCCGTGAAGAGTGCCCACAGTGCCCTAAAACTTCTCGCACGCGCCGCTGGCAGGTGCTCTTGCGGAAGCCGGTGACTTCTGGCCCCCTCTCCACCTCCGTCTCCTGTGGCCTCTGCCCTGCGCCGTTGTCCGCGAGCGCCGTCGTCAGGCTCACCAACGCAACTGGTGACATCGGAGTCCCTCATCCCCTCCGCCCCCTGCTGTCGGCGGCAGATTTTCCACTGCAGTTGGTAACGCTGGGCTGCTTCTTCGCCTCGTGTTGTCGTGTCGCTGTGCTGCCTTCTCGGCAAGCTTCCCACGGCAGCTGAGTGCGGAAGGCTTAGGGACGGAGGGAGGGAGGGAGGATTAAGAGGAGCAGGGGAATGGGGACGGGGAGGGGAAGGGGGGGAGGAGGAAGAAGAGGGGCAAGCTCCTGTGAAGCATCCGACTCCGAGAACTTGACCGCCTGGCCTGCTCGAACCAGCTTCGGGGCGGCGGCGAACTCCTCCGGGAGGCGGAGCAGGAGCAGCACGATTCTGGGAGTAGGCTGGGGAGCAAGATCGCACAGTCAAGCTGCTGAATAAGAAACGGTAGATCAAAAACGACGCCCCTTTTTGGCCTCCAAAACGCCCGCGTGCAGGAGGAGGGCTAGAGGAACAGCCGTGGAAGGACCCAAGGAGCATCCATCGAGCCCCTTGAGATCCCAAAGCGGTCCTTACTTCAGCGTCTTGGCTCTAGAGGAGCGGCCGCGACATGGACAGAAGGTTTCGGAGGTCCGCGCGGACTTCTTGTTGGACGGCAGAACGAGCCGCCCCCCCCCCCCCCCCTCTGTCTCTTGCGCGCGGAGCGCGCTGGGAGCGGCGCAGGGTGCGCCGCCAAGACTCGGAGCAGGGCGAGTTGAGGGGAATCAGCGATGGCATCAACTCGGAGCTCTGCGCGGATGCCTCGGATCGGCGCTGGGGCCCCCTGGCGGCGCCTCCGGCGCGGCGCCGATCCGAGGCATCCGCGCGGACCTCCGAGTCGTTGTGCTCTTGTCATTGCTTGCTCCCTGAGGGCTGGCCTTGCCGTGAGGCCGCTCTCCTTCTGTCCCCCCTCTTTAAAAGTTAATTCAAGTTTCGCGCGGCCCGCTTAGCTTCGACCGGAAGAGGTGCGCTCTCGACCCGCGAATCCAAAAACATGTTCCCTGAGGGCTGAGACGACGGCAGCGCAAGATCGGTCCGGAGCCCCCTCCCAGGGCCCAGCCGCACCGACGTTTCGAGCTGCGTCCCGCCGACGAGCGTGCCTCCACTCGCCCTCCTCTGAACTCAAGGGGTGCGCGGAGGGCTGCGGTTCGGTCAGGCGTGTCCTCCTGCAGGCGTATTTTGGGCGAGCAATAAAAGACAGTCGAACAAGACACTAAAAGATTCAAAAATAGTAAAAATATAGTTCCCTGACGATGTTTTGACTATTTTTGAATGTTCCTCCTGTGGACGGACACGCCCGACTTCAGGCTACGGTGTCCAGCGCCGACGCCAGGAGCCCGCGTGAGCCTCGAAAGCTCATGACGGACCCCTGCGCGGCACCGTAGGGGCAGAAGCCTTCCAACCGCCCTGGGACAGGCGCCCCCGACGGCGGAAAGTCTGTTTGGTACGTTTCTTCGGCGAAGAACTGTATAAAAGCGTCGAAAGAGTGTCGGACCTGGAAAAGTGTTGAAAGAGTGTCGAAGCAGTGTCGAACGAGTGTCTCCCAGGGCCCGACGCGCAAAAACCCTCGAGTTTCGGTACTGTCCTCTGGTGCTCGACATCCTTCCTGGTGCTCCAGGCTGCAGCAGGTCGGAACCTCAAAACTCTTCGCACCGCAGCTTGGGAGGAGCAGGACCCGGATCGGCCGAGGCACGCGGCGGGCCGGCTCGTGAAGCGGAGGCCATGGGTCCTCCGGCACCATGAACTTGTAGCCCTGGAAGGCCTCCCACCGAGTCCTCCAGAACGGCTGGACCTCTGGGACCACCCTGGAGCTCTTGGTGATCCTCTGGTCGATCTCCTCGGGGGGAAGGGGATCGTGGCGGGAGGTCGCCAACCCAAGCATCGGCTGCACGCAAGAGTGACCCTGGATGAGAGCGACCGTGGGTGAGTGGCTTTCTGGGGGCCGCGGGAAGACCAAACACGAGCGCGCAGGACGCTGCTACCGCATCGCGTTCGGCGATCGGGGGACCCCAGAGGGCCCGCACCAAAGGTCACTCTGGCGAAGGGTCACTCTCACGTGTAATCGACCAAGTATTGGGGCCGTCCAAGAGGGGGGCGTCCAAGAGGGGGGGCGCAAATCATGGCCGGCGGCATGTGCGCGGCCTAGGGGGGAGACGGGGACGCATTGAAATCAGAAGAGGCGCCACGAAATCTGGGGAGACATCATGGCCCCCGCCATGATATCACCCCACCCTAGTCATCACCCCCCTCTTCTTTGCCGCCTCCGAAGAACCACACCGTGAAGCACATCAAGAACGACAGGAGCTGTGCAGGCCAACGGCCACACTGTTGGCGCTCCGCGCAGATTTCTTGGATCCGCGCTGGGCCCCCTCCCTGCGCGGAGTGCGCCAGGGGCGACGCCGGAGGCGCCGCCAGGGGAGCTCCAGCGCGGCTCCAAGAAATCTGCCCGGAGTGCCAAAAGCTTATGTTGATAGCGTTTTTGATTTTTTTCCTTCGAAGTGAGGAGCATCTCACTGCACCGGCCTTGCGGACGTGCTGCAGCGGATTTCTGCGTGGACTTCTGCCCGAGACGGCGAGCAAAAAGCGAAGTGAATTTCGCGTGGGTGCTTTTTGGCCTTCATGCCTGCCCCACAAAAACCCGCACGAAGATCACCTCGAAACCTGGAGCGACACTCTCCAGCAGACTCTGGGCCCACCCTGTCGTTTTCCGAATCCGCTCAGCGATGCTGGCGCCATGAAACGCCAGGAACGACAGGGCTCGTGCAGGCCAACCGCCATGCCCGGCCCACCCTCCGTCGCCTGCGCAGCCGGAAGCCTGCGCTGCCGGCGGGGCAGAGGGCGCAGAGGAGGGGGGAGGCACAGGCACGCGGCAGCGAGCGCGCAGGGCGGGAGGCAATGGGCGGGCGGGGCGCAGCAACGGGGGCCGGGCAGGCGGAAACAGTCATTGCACCGGCTTTGCAGACGTGCTAATCCATGCGGAATGTACGCTCATCCACGCTGAATCGACGCTAATCGACGCCAGCCGACGCTAAATCGGCGCCATGCGCTAATCGACGCTTAAGGCGGAACTCAGAGCGCATACCAGGCTCCCATGATTTGCTACCGGAAAAAAACCATCCTGGCTCCGGGATCCGTGTCGGCGCGCCACCCTTGCATTCGTGCTGCAGCGGATTTCTGCGTGGATTTCTGTCCATGCAGAACCTCGAAGCGGCGAGCGAAAGACGAAGTGAACTTTGCGTGGGTTCTTTTTGGTCTTCATTCCTGGCCAGAGAAATCCGCACGAAATTCACCTAATAATCCGGAACGAAACTCTCCAGGACACTCCGGACCCATCCCATCGTTTTCCGAACGAAATCCGCTCTGCGATGTTGGCGCCATGAGAACAGGGCAGGGGGTGAGCAGCAGTGAAAGGACCCCCGCAGAGGAAGAAAAAACGCAATAACGATAAACTGTTCGAGGTGCGCGCGAATTTCTTGGACCCGCGCCGGACCCCCCTTCCTGGCGCGCGGAGCGCGCCAAGGGGCGGCGCCGGAGGCGCCGCCAGGGGGGGGCCCATCGCGGATCCAAGAAATCCGCGAGGAGCGCCAAAATTTTATGTTTATGGCGTTTTTCTTCTTCGACCCCAACCTTCTGGGAGGCGACCTAAGTTGAAGGAACACAATTATCGTGTTGGGAAGAAGGGTTTGGGAAGGTATCGGGCACGACCGTGTGATATACACCTTCGACATACGCGATAATACAGATGGTCTGATCATTTCTCACAGACCCCATCCTCCCAACCCGAGAACTGTCTCTCTGAAAGTTAGTGCACATGTATAAGTATCGTGCTAATACAAAGACTGGGACCTCAGTGAGGCCACGCCTTCACTTGGGGTGATTGAAATCAAAAGGAGGCGACCTAAGTTTGAGGAAGACAATGATCGCGTTGGGAGGGAGGGGTTGGGAAGCTAGAGGGCACGACTGTGTAATATACACGTTCGACATACGCGATAATACTGATGACCTGATCATTTCTCCCAGCCCGATCTTCCCAACCCGATAACTGTATTTCTGAGAGTTAAGTGGCCAACAAAACATCAGGGATAGGGACTCTCTTCTACAAATGCATCAAAACCAAACTGCTCAGATGTATTATCCAGGATGCAGAAAGACGAGGACCTCAGCGAGGCCACGTCTTCACCATGCGATTAAGGGCTAAGGTCTTTTCATCCGCGATGATCGGGGGGGACAACAGGCAGAGAGCAGGGACGAAGGAGGACGAGGAGGAGGATACACGGCAACAGCGGAGGAGCAGGATGCGATGTACGACGCGAGTCGCTCGCTTATATGTCTGTCTCGCCCGAAGGCGCGCGCCTGTGCCGGGCGCTCAGTGCGCCGGTATCCACGAGGTGGGCCTGTTGGGCCTCACGACCCTGATCGGGTCATCGAGGGGCCGCTCGACGAGCAGCGGCACGTAGATGTCGCCGTTCTTGTACATGCGCTCGCTCTCGTCCGACTCGATGACGTCGAAGATGTTCTCCACGATCGGGGCCGGGTCGGACATCCACGAAGCAAAGTCCGCGCCCACGTACCCAGCGGTGATTGTCGGGCACTCCAGGCGGCAGGAACGGATCTGGCCCAATGTGATGGGGTACTGGTGCATCTGGCGCACCTTCGTGTTGTCGGGGTCCGCCTGAGACTCGCTCAGGCTCACGACGGTAAGCTTGGGGATGCGCGAGAGAACCATTGCGCCGATGGTGTTTGTGATGCCCATGATCTGCGACCCCTGCTTCAGAAACACGTCGGGCGACACCATGTAGACCATGAAGGCCTCGGCGCGCTCCGAGGCGTCGTTGCTTCTGGCTCCGACTAGGGCGGTGACCCCGAAGCTCTTGGAGCCAGTGTTGATGCCCAGCACGTCGTACGCCTTACGCTTGGTGTTGTTGTTCATGCTGCGGTCCTTCAAACCCTTCGTGGCTTGCCACGTGAGCGTGTACGTGTAGCCCTTCAGTGGGGAGTACCAGCCCCACTTGGCGTGGTCGAGCTGCTTCACAGAGGGCACGACCTCGTCGAGCTTGTGGCCCTTGCTGGGCATCGGGGGGGCTGGGAACGCGTTCTGCGGGGTCGTGTACTTGCCCGCCATCACCTCCTGGAAGAGCACCTCCGGGTCAGATGCGGACATTTCGTAGGCGTGCGGAGGCACCCCGTTGTACGTCATCACCAGCGAGCAGACGTGCGCCGCATCCTCCCCTCCTTCTCTGCTGCCCATGGACGACGAGAGTGTGAAGGCGTCCTTTGCCCTCCTGAGTGCTTCAATGGAGTCCTCAGAGGACGGAATTGAGCACTTGTCGAGCTTCCTCACGAGGCTGGCAATGTGCGCCTTCGCAAGGTCCAGCGTCGCAGCTGCCTCCAGCAGGGTGTCCCCGGACGCCTTCGCGAACGCCAGGTTGCTCTCAGCCTCCTTGATGCTCTTGAAATCCATGGTCCTTGCGTGCCCTGCTACTTGTCGCAGGCTGGCCTCAGCGTCGCGTAACCATGGCGCGCAAACTTTGAGGCCGTCTTTGAACCAAGACGGACACGGATGAGCAACAGTAATTACAAAACCAAGAACGATGAGTCTGTGGGCACCGCACCCGTCTCGGCGTGAGGACGTCTATCAGCAAGTCGTGCCGTGACGAACCAACAACACACACCGATACCCATAGGGGGATCGGAGAGGGCTATGGGTACGTGTTGTCGGATGGGGGTCCCCGCTCGAACGGGAGCGTTCCCCAGGGTCCGACAACCCGCACCCATACCCATAGCCAGTCCTCCTCCCAACGACCTCCCTTATGGGTATGGGTGCGTGTTGTTCGTTCGTCATGCCGAGGAATGCACCACGAACTCGAACGAACCATCAGGACCTTCTGGCGATCGTCGCCTGACAGTCGCCTGGGCACGCGAGTTAGACTTGGGCTGATTGCGACTTCTCTCTTCCAAGAGCTCCAGAAAGGCATGTGAGCAATATTCAAGATGCTTATCGGAGCCGCACGCACGATGAAATTCTGGAATGTCGGGTATTCTGTATGGCTTCGGGAGAAACTTGAAGGATCATTATGAGCGCAACGCGTTTCTTGGACCAGTGAAAGGGGTCAAATTAACAGATAAACTCAACCCAAACGAAATGCTGCCCAGGTGAACGACGAGAGCATCGCGCCCTGTGAGCATCATCGTAGGCCAGTCCACCACGTCACCTGTTTCGTTATAACGCAAGGAAGCGCACATAAACTAAATAATATGGAGAACCTGGGGTAATATTGAATCCCACATAATCTGGAGGAATTCGGCATGATCTGCAATGACATGATACGATCTGAAAGAGTCTTAGAATACTGCCGAGTGTGGAGGTTCGGAAATATGTGGGCAAATTTTGGGAGGCGGCATCAATCACCCATCGATCACCCAGCGGACTGCATGGGATGATCGTGCCAACCCATTTCCGCAACACCGATCGCTTTTTCCTCTCACTCCCTTCCCTCCCTCCGGTCCCTTCCCATCTCCCAGCCCCTCGCACCGCTCTTCCTCCTCTACCCTTCTGATGCCGCTCCTGCATCGCCCGGTTGCCTGCTTCCTGCTCCCCGATAACCTCCCCTGTCCTCCTCCCCCCTTCTCCCCAGGAGAGGGAGGGGGAGGAGGAGGAGGAGGAGGAGGAGGAGGAGGAGGAGGAGGAGGAGGAGGAGGAGGAGGAGGAGGAGGAGGAGGAGGAGGAGTAGGAGGAGGAGGAGGAGGATGGAGCTGCGGAGGAGGACGAAGTGCGAGGGTGGACGCGGGAGTGGGAGGTTGACCCTGCCATCGCTCGGGCGTCCCTTCCCCGTGCATTGTTCGGTTTCGTGCGTGTGCCCTTCCCGAGATGGATCCAGGATGCTTCTCGATGGTCCGCGAGGAAAATGTACGATGGAGGAGGTCGGAGGAGGAGGAAGCGGAGCAGGAGGACGACGTACGCAGAGGCGTACGAGGAGGGTTGATACATGAAGGGTAAGGAGTATGGTGTACGTTCTGTGCACTGCCGCTCCTGGAGAACTGCCACACTGCCCTTGTACATCCTGTCGACCTGCCACCACATGCGGAGATGCTTCAGCAAAGGCTCGCGATTGGCGCTCTTGATGTAGATGTCTTTGTCCTCGTTCTGCAACTCCAACTTGAAGTGCTCTGGTGTGTTTGTATCCTTGACCACTTTCGTAATTCTGTCGTACCCCCGGGCGGGAGTGAGCGGCGACGTGCCAGATCGAGTCGGCAGAGGAGGCCACGGCAGCAGAGCATGGGGAGGGCCAAGAAGATGACTGAGCATCGGAAAAGATGAGGAAATTTTAGAGACCAGGGTCACAGAGGATCTCCCGGAGAGAACTGTGGAGGATCGAGGGGGGTTATGGGGGATCGAGCTTTGATGTCGGAGATGAGGCCTCCTCGACCCTATGTGACCGTTGATCCGCGGCCGAGGATAGAACGGATTAGTTCACACGGCCAAGGTCTCGAGAAGCCCATGAACTTCGCAGAAGCTCCTCTAGATACCCCCCCCCCCCACACACACCACACACACACACACACACACACACACACACACACACCACACAACACACACACACACACACACACACACACACACACACACACACACACACCACACACACACACACACACACACACACACACACCACACACACACACACACACACACACACACACACACACACACCACACACCACACACACACACACACACACACACACACACCCACACACACACACACACCACACACACACACACACACACACACACACACACACACAACAACACAAACACACACACACACACACACACACACACACACACACACACACACACACACACACACACACACACACACACACACACACACACACACACACACACACACACACACACACACACACACACACACACACACACACACACACACACACACACACACAAGAGGGAGGCTGTTACCTCGACGATCTCCCTGCTGCTGCTCCTTCTCCCCCTCCTCCTCCCCCTCCTCCTCCTTCTCCTCCTCCTCCTGCTCCTCTCTCTTTCCTCATCTTCCTCCTCATGCTCCCTTCTCGTCGTCCTCCTCCGCTTGCTCCTCTCCCCTCCTCCCCCCTATCATATTCTTCTTTCCACCTCCTCACCTCTCTTCTCCTCTCTTTTTCAGCTTCATATTCTTTCTCCTCCGCCTCATCCTCCTCTCCTCCTCCTGTTCCTCCTTCTTCCCCTCCCCCTTCCCCTCCTACAAAACCAAAGAGAGGGCTACTGGCCTGACCATGCCCGAGCCCTGCAGAGGTGGCAACGCCATGGGCAGTGGACATGACCTCACGGTGTTCTTCGAGTCTGCGTCCAGCCTGACGTCCTTCGATCAGACGGGGCCAGGACCAGGGCAACATCGGACAGGGAGAGAAATTGGAAACAACTCTGAAATCCAGTGGCTTTCAGTGCGTTCCGGAGCGCCCTGGAACGCATTCATCCTTGTCCTAGCCCCGCTCGATTCGAGGCGATCGTGAGGCGACCGCGCACTGAGCTGCAACTACCGCCATCGTGCTACGGTCGGGAACTTCAGCTCAGCGTGCCGCGGCGGCGGCCCGGGCGACACGCTGTGCCATTCGAGCGGATAGCATGTCGCTCCGCTCCGCGGGGCGAGAAGCTCGGGCAACGCCTGGGACGCTGACGCTCGGGGACCGGAATGTGGCTAGCGTGTCGCGCCGAAGCGTGGTGGGCCAGAGCCGGCGAAGCGACACGCGGAGCCAAAGCCTTCGACCGTACAGGCGTCGTGCCACCATTCGGAGCGATGAGCGGGGAACGAGTGGGCTCTTTTGGCTACGGCGAACCTCTGCCACGAACAGGTTCCCTGACGCAGTTCAGCAGCTGGCGCTGGCGAGATCACGTGCAACCCCGCTCTGCGAAGCGCACGGCTGGCCCTGTGAGGCGATGCCCCCGCGAGGGCCCCTTTCTGTGCACGCCCAGTCCCCTGCCAGGGCTTCTACGGTGCACGCTGTCCCTGAGGTGGGGGATCCCGTGTAATGAGCAGGCCGGCGGCGCCATTGCAACACCAGCCGTAAGGAACGGCTCGAAGATCGGAGCTCTTCCTGAGCCCGAAGCGGGTCCTCATGCCAGCGCCTTTGCTAAACAACAAAAAAGCGCGCAAAAACCCTTCGGCCGCTCGGGCTGGGGGGTCCAGCGTCGCCACTGCCGTGGTGCTCTATCCGGGGCTCCTGGCAGAGGGGCTTGGCATTCGGACCTGGAGACAGAGGGCGAAGAAGCAGGAGGGATCAGCACGGCTGTCCTCCCCCCTCGATGGCTGATGGTTAATGGTAATGGTGGTGATGGTGGTGGTGATGCTAGGTGATGATTGGTGTCTGATGGTGGATGGTGATTCGCCACCATCGTCAACCACGCTATGTCATCACAAATCACCACCAACCACACAATCGCCAACAACCACCACCACCACCACCCATCATCAAGCACCATCCACCATCAAATCACCACCACCCCTCTCCTCCTCCTCCTCCTCCTCCTCCTCCTCCTCCTCCTCCTTCTCCTCCTCCTCCTCCTCCTCCTCATCATCATCCTGCTGCTCCTCCTCCTCCTCCTCCTCCTCCTCCTGCTCCTCCTCCTCCAGGGCCGATGGGTCGGATCCGGCCGTTCACGGTTCCGGCGTCGCCGCTCACACGCCAGGGCCGAGCGGCCTGTGCACCGACCCCCCACCCCGACCCCCCGAACACAAGGGCTCCCAATTTCGCGCTTCGCGCTGCGCGAAGCGCGGAAGTTCGAATAGCTTCGCGCTCTCGCGCCGCCTCCCAGGGGAGAAGAGGAGGGTGAGGAGGAAGAATCGGAGCCGAAGCGCGAAGCGCGAACAACTTCGCGCCCTCGAGGGCGCCCTTGGAACAGAGAGGGAGGGAGGCTGGGGAGGGAAAAAGTGGGAGGAGGGGCCGGAGGACGCCCCAGGGAGCACGAGGATGAGACGTGGGCGGATGGGAGGTGAGAGCGACTGCCGCCGCCTGCCTTCAGAGCGCCGCGCCGTGGAGCTGCCCGAAAAGACACACGCTTGATCGGCTGTCTGGCACGCCGCACAGTGCTGCGCCCGGCCTGCGCGCCAAAGTTGGCCGGCTGCGCGGCGCACCCCTTCGGCATGCGCCAAGCACCTCGTCGCTCGCCAGCTGGCACCACCCTGGAGCTTGCGCCTCCCTCGCCCTCTCCGTCCAGCCGCGCGAGCCTGCGCGAGGCTGGCCGAGCCGGGCTGCGGCCCGGCGCGCCTCTCGGGGGCCCTGCCCTCCAGCGGAGCCCCACCTCGACGCCAAGCCAAGCCACGGCCTCTTTGTGGATCGACGCGCCCGCTCTGGCGGTCACCGTGCTGTCGTGTTCGCCCCCGTCCTGTCCGCCTCCCCCGCCTGGCTGCCGCCTGCGCAGCGCCGCGGCGGGCTCGCGTTCTGGGCCCGGGCGCCCCCGGCGGGCGCTAGCGCCTGGGGATGCCCGCGCGAGCCCCCCCTCCCCCCACCGCTGGCCCCAGCGGGCCGCCCCCGCACGAGCCCTCCCCGCCGGCCCTGGGGGCGTCGGGTGCCGCCGCCCTCGGCCTCGGCCTTCCCAGACACACCTTGGCCGTGAGGTGGTGGGGGGTCCATGGTAAGAACAAGGAAAGGCGACACCAACAAACACCAGGGCGAGGAGATGCGAGGAGGCAAGTGGGGCCTCCCTGGTGGTGTGGTCCCCCCCTCGCTCGAGACATCCCCAGCCTCCAGATCGGGG